GTACTGGATGATGTTTGTTCTCTGTATTGGATGATGTTAGATGGCTTGTTCTCTGTACTGTATGATGTTTGATGGCTCGTTTCCTGTACTGGATGACGTTTGATGGCTCGTTTCCTTACTGGATGACGTTTGATGGCTCGTTTCCTGTACCGGATGACGTTTGGCTCGTTTCCTTTACTGGATGACGTTTGATGGCTCGTTTCCTTTACTGGATGACGTTTGATGGCTCGTTTCCTGTACTGGATGACGTTTGATGGCTCGTTTTCTGTACTGAATCATGTTTGATGGCTTGTTTCCTGTACTGGATGATGTTTGATGGCTCGTTTCCTTTACTGGATGACGTTTGATGGCTCGTTTCCTGTACTGGATGACGTTTGATGGCTCGTTTTCTGTACTGAATCATGTTTGATGGCTCATTTCCTGTACTGGATGACGTTTGATGGCTCGTTTCCTGTACTGGATGACGTTTGATGGCTCGTTTCCTGTACTGGATGACGTTTGATGGCTCGTTTCCTGTACTGGATGACGTTTGATGGCTCGTTTCCTGTACTGGATGACGTTTGATGGCTCGTTTCCTGTACTGGATGACGTTTGATGGCTCGTTTCCTGTACTGGATGACGTTTAATGTCTCGTTTCCTGTACTGGATGACGTTTGATGGCTCCTTTCCTGTACTGGATGACGTTTGATGGCTCATTCTTTGTACTGGATGATGTTTGATAGCTTGTTCCCTGTACTGGATGATGTTTTGTTCCTCGTACTGGGTGATGTTTTGTGCTTATCCCATGTACTGGATAATGTTTTTTCTCTGTATTGGATGATAGATGGTTTGTTCTCTGTACTGGATGATGTTTGATGGCTACTGGATGATGTTTTGTGTGTTTGTTTGATGGCTCATTCCCTGTATAGGATCCTTCAGTTAAGTACAAGTCCTGTGCCTCCCCCATCCTGTGACTGGACAGCAAAAGGAGTAGCAGCAGAGTGGGAAGCTAATCTGTTTCTCACTCTGTTGTCTTTCCCCCAGTCAGCATACTTATTGCACTGCAGTACAACTGGTTGGCCTTTGTGCTCTTTTTTTTCCTCCATCAGTCTAAATGTTGTTTTACTGAGGTCAGTACCAGATAAGATTCAGGTGCTTACATTGCTTGCAATTGAAAAAAATAAATTTAATGATGCTGTCATGGATCCAACCCACAGGCAAATGCCCACAGCGACTAGCTAACTGAGGCATGCACGTGCGGCCGTGACTTGGGGTAAGAGGGAATAAGGGGGACTTAATCTGAATATATATAAGTATATAAGACTGGCCGTGATATACTTTCACAGCCCGCACTACCTCTGACCACCACTAGAGGGATACCCCACTCCAATCCAGCTGGCTGACCACACACACAGGCAGACAAATCTTATATACAATCTAGTGCACACTAAGGGTTGACGAGCAGCCTAGCAATCGCACACCCTTCTAGGATTCCTCCAGCTATCCTACAAGCTAGAACCCTGCTGTTAATCACTCTTCCACTGTCCACACACCCTCACACTAGACACACCACAAATGGTAGCTTGCCACCACCCAACAGTTTTTACTGGCACTGCACACACACACACAGATCTCCGTCTGGCACAGCACAATCTGCATGCACACACACATGCACATACAGATTGGCAATGAACACCACATATAAACACACACACAATACACCTCCGTCTGGCTTAAGATCCAGAAGTCACTTATTCATTTTTGATTTAATACTAGGAGTGCATAAAATATGTACAAAGTATAAGTTAAAACAATTGGCTATTGACTATAAAATAAAAAGAAATAAAACTTTTTCCAAGAGTTATCCTGCGACTGGAGCAAGTCAGAGAGAGTCCGCAATCCGTCAGTCAATAGAACTGGCTCCATACGAATCACAACATCCATATCCCAGGTCCTCAATTTATGGGAATATGGAGGTAGGCTGGACATTAGCCCTTGGCCAATCAACTCTGGGGGGGGTGTTCCTTTACCAACACACAGGACGTTCTGGGTACTGAAATGCCCAAAGTCGATTGGACCAGGGACGGTTTGAATCACCAAGTTAGGGATTGAATTTCCGACACCAGCGCATCAGTCCGATCACGACAGTACCAATCACTTTTAAGCCGTCGCAATCAGGTGCCATATAACCATTTTCTGCATTTCTTTGGGATCCTACATAGTCTACAAATACAGTTTTACATGCAGGTGTAGCCTACAGTGTGTCCAATCAGAAGAAAGTATTTTCATCTCTCTGCAACTAATATTTTAGCTTTTATGAGAGATGAGATATATTCCTTTGATCTGCTGATATACTTCAAAGCTCCCAGACACATCGGAACCACCTCTGGTCTCCCGCTGTGTCATGAAGCCGATCTGTCTGGAGCCTTTTCCTTCCAGATTTCTCAGAAGGTGACATCTTATTGGCATCTAGGTGTCACCTCCTTCCAGAGGAAGCTCTGTCCCTTTTCAGATGCTGATTGGTGACCATATGCCTCTGACTGAATTCTGAACACATCTTATATTATTATAACATGGAATGTTAGATCTACATTGTCATATTTTCTACAGATCACATCTCAGCTACTCAAATCTTACATGTACGTTACAGATCCATTCATGATTACAGAGCTGCATTGATCTGTGTATTTTATATCTACCTGGAGTTCAGCTTGTAGTACTTTTGGTTATTTTACACAGGACACATTCTGTATGCATATACAGAAGACTACCGCCCATATAGGAGAGTGAGCTGTGTCTGTGTCCGCTCTGCATAAGCGAACAGAGGATTAAATATTTTGGCGCATCCAGGAGAGAATGGGGTGGCCTCTGCAGTGTATATTACAATATATATCCCTACAATAGGGACTTGCAAACTGGGATGGGCATATGATTAGTAAAGCTCAAGGTGCATGAATCAGTCCAAGTATAAGTCCATGCAAAGGTATATAAATAGCTTGACCTAGAGACTGCCAGCAGAGATCAAGCTAGAAGGGACTCTGTGGAAGATAAGCAAAAAGAGGTGGCACCATCTAAGTGCAGCAATGTAAAACCATTTATTCACATGTAGCATAACAGCTCACAAGGTGAAGGCAAAAGAGGCACGTGTCCTATATGGTGCATCCACAGTGGTCCAGAGTGTAAAGGCGATTCTTAGGTGTGAAGCCGATGCGAATAAATGATTTTAAACATTGTTGCACTTAGATGGCACCGCCTCTTTTATCTGCATAAGCGGAGCAGACATGGACCAGCCCTCTGCCTGCTCAGCGGGGATCAGTGGACTGATCCGCCACTGAGCAAGTGGACTCCTGGTAGCATCCACCCCATGTGGAAGGGGTCTTAGCCATACATGCATTGGTAAAGTGCAAATAAAATAAAATTTGCATCCTAAACAACCTCTTTTCTGATGTTCAATTACATTGGTGAAAAACACTCCTGGCATGTATTTAGGGCAGGGTGGATAAAAATCGATGCTTTTAAAAAAAATATATAAATAAAAAAGGATTTTTTTTAAATTTAAATCAGATTTTTTTTTTTTTTTTATCATTTATTTTGATAGATTTTTATTTCAAAAAGCATTTTATCTAAAGATATAGTTTTTTTTATTTAAGATACATACATTAATAATTTAGTTTATTCAGCATGAACTGGAGCTTATTTATGTAGCATGAGGCTGCATATTCTGCAATATTTAAACTTTTGGTAGACTCATTCAATGAATCCAAGCTCTGCAAGCTGAGATAACATGCACTGCATTGAGGCATTCACACAATTTCACAGTAACCATGAGAAAAAACATGAAATAAAAGAATTTGAGTAGTTCTTCAGCTATGTGTGATTAACCTAAAATCAGTTCTGATATCGCTGTTATTACTAAAGTGACAGCTTATTATTCTAAAAAGGAAACCTTCATTTGGTCTGCAAATATTAAAGATTCTAACTACCAGCAAGAATGAGTTGGGTTCCTTACATTTACAAAGAGCACCTGTCATTTTAGATCCATCATGGCAGCGCCTGTTAGTGTGCATCCACTCACCTGCTCAGCTTGTTGTGTCACTTCCGCATCACCAGCCATCCCATTAAAGTGAATGGGACTGTCGGTGAGTTAACAGCGGGTCAGAGGAGGAGCCGCTGCAGGACAGAGATTACAGTTACTCTTTAAAAATTATTATTTAAATCTAGCCTTTTCACTAGTGATTTCAATCATGATTTAAATAAAATCCACCCTGATTTAGGGTATCCATTCATGTACACTATGCTGCCAAAAATATTGAACGCCGGCAATTACATGTATATGAATTTTAATGGCATCCCAGTCTTAGACTGTAGGGTTCAATATTGAGTTGGCCCACCCTTTGCAGCTACAACAGCTTCAACTCTTCTGGGAAGGCTGTCCACAAGGTTTAGGAATGTGTCTATGGGAATGTCTGACTATTCTTCCAGAAGCACGTTTGTGAGGTCATGCACTGATGTCAGACGAGAAGACCTGGCTCCCAGTCTCCGCTCTAATTTATCCCAAAGGTTTTCTGTCTGGTTGAGGTCAGGACTCTGTGCAGGCCAGTCAAGGTCCTCCACCCCAAACTCACTCATCCATGTCTTTATGGACCTTGCTTTGTGCACTGGTGCGCAGTCATGTTGGAACAGGAAGGGGCCATCCCCAAACTGTTCCCACAAAGTTGGAAGCATGAAATTGTCCAAAATGTCTTGGTATGCTGATGCCTTAAGAGTTCCCTTCACTGGATGTAAGGGCCAAGCCCAACCCCTTAAAAACAACCCCACACCATAACCCCCCCTCCACCAAACTTTACACTTGGCACAGTGCAGTCAATCAAATACCGTTCTCCTGGCAACCACCAAACCCAGACTTGTTCATTGGATTGCAAGACAGAGAAGGGTGATTTGTCATTCCAGAGAACACGTCTCCAATGCATCTGACATTTTGCTTTGCACTTTGAGATGTAAGGCTTGGATGCAACTGCTTGGCCATGGAAACTCATTCCATGAAGCTCTCTACGCACTGTTGTGGTGATCTGAAGGCCACATGAAGTTTGGAGGTCTTTTGCCATTGACTCTGTAGATAGTTGGCGACTTCTGCGCACTGTGCACTTCAGCGTGTGCTGACCCTGTTCTGTCATTTTACGTGGCCTAACACTTTGTGGCTGAGTTGCTGTTGTTCCCAGTTGCTTCCACTTTGTTATAACACCACTAACAGTTGACCGTGGAATATTTAGTAGCAAGGAAATTTCACAGATGGACTTATTGCACAGGTGGCAACCTATCACGGTACCACGCTTGAATTCACTGAGCTACTGAGAGTGCCCATTCTTTCACAAATGTTTGTAGAAGTATTCTGCATGTCCAGATGCTTGATTTTTTTTACACCTGTGGCCATGGAGGTGATTGGAACACCTGAATCCAATGATTTTGAGTGCTGTCCCAATACTTTTCGCAATATAGTGTATATGGCATGCATAAACATATGGTTACTTTACTTCTGAAGTGTGACAATATGTTTTTTTTTTCAGTCTGGTACATACAGTGGTAGCAAACTAGAAGTTACATTTTACCTTGGTGGATAAGGACACTGACTTTTTCGAACCTGGCATGATGCATATTATGTTTTATCTAGCATTGCATTGGTTAATGATATATCTTTCTTGATGAGTTCAAAGATTGGGTAAGTCTACTATGACAACCTTTGTCTCACCTAGCTCAGCTGAAAAAAGATTGTGGAAGCCTCTTCACTGCTGAAGGATAACATCAAGCTAATGTAAACATCTTATTTCCAGGTATCCATGAATAGCTGTAGCATCAACAATCCATGCAGGGATGGCAAAGAAATGTCAGTATTCTGTTAAATATGGGTGCCAGGAAGGACTTTAAAGTGTTACTAAACCCAGGACCCAGGGTACAATGTTGTATGACCGCGCAATTGTCATTCAAAGTGCGACAGCGCTGAAAGCTGAAAATTGGCCTGGGCAGGAAGGGGTTATAAGTGCCCTGTTGGCAAGCGGTTAAAGGGATGAGGTGGCAACCCTAATTTAGCCCTGCAGTTAGTGTACCACGGGTGAAATGCACAGGCTCCTACATTGTTAATGTGGAACTTCACTCTCTCAATTAACATTGACTATTTCTAATCCTATCGTATTTACTAGTTTTAAACATTTTTTTTGCATGTATTCAGTTACTTCCTGGTTTCCAAGCCTAAGCAAAAGATGTCATACATCCCTGAAGTCTTTAGGAGGGGAGGAGGGGTTCTCTCAGCTAAGCACAACCTCCTGTCTGCATGCCTGAGCTAAGGGCAGTTGATTCCAGGAAGTAAATGCTACATGAATCATCTGCCCTTATTCAAGATGGCCACGGCCAGAAATTTTAGGGGGTGTTTTTCAAAGTGATTTCTCAGCATAAACAGCATGGAGACATAGATGGATGGGTGAGTTTTCTTTGACTATTAAAAATGAATAAACAGCGTTTTTTTTTGGCTTGTGATGCTAAGATGCAGTGTAGTTCCACATTAACACCCCAGCACCAGGTCCATATGAAGGTATGGAGGTTGAAGAAAGTATTCAGTGGACTACAAGTGTGGTTACATTATTGCATGTTTGCTCCATTAAAATCTAGAACCTTGTGCTGCAGTGGCAGATGGGACTTGTAGTCTTTTCATTCCAAGGTCACAGATCAGAATGAATCTGTGAATGGATGACACGACTGTGCAGCATCAAGTTCAAATGCAGAAAGAAGGCTGCATGGAGAAGGATCTGGTGAATCAGGTAAGATTGGGGGGTGGGCAGTTGGAGGGTTGGGTGTCATGGAATGTGGCCATGTTTCATACTACATTCTAAATATGGATGCAACCGGAAACGTGGTCCCAAAAGTGGGCTAAGCCTTTATGTGCACTGCTTAGGCAAAGCACAGGTTCACTTAAAGGCTTATTCACCCCCATAGTAATTTGTATGCATCCTGCCTATGCTCCCCTGCCTCTTCATTTTCCCGAACTGTCAAAGATATGTATTTTTCCTTTGATTCAAGTGTACGAATTAATTGGTGGGAGAGTGAGGGGGAAGTGAATATGTTTATATACTGTACAGGGGAATGGGTGGGTGGACATGTCAGTATGCACTGCATGGGCAAAGCACAGGTTAACATTAAGGCTAGGTTCACATATGTGCTGGTGGTGCCGCTGCGGATCCGCACAAAAATCTGCGCAGCCTCACCACCCACACAGAAGAATGCGGACCCACGGGCGGGTGCCATTAGTTCTAATGGCACGCCACCTGTACTGGAAATCGCAACCACACTGGGAACCAAGGTTCTCGTGTGGGCCGCGGTTTCCAAAGAAGTGCAGGGACTTCTTCCTTGTGTGTCCTGGGGCACGGGAGTCCATTCAAATGAATAGGCTCTCGTGCCTGCGCAAAGCGCGGCCCATAGGAACACGAATATGTGAACCAGGGGTTACAGTGTCTGCATTTCGGATCTGTGCACCTACTCCAGCTGCATGTCAAATTTTGACAAACGTCTGTTTCCATATAGTCACTGTGTCTGCATCCACTTTTATGTGCCGCCTGCTTTCAGCTCTAAGGTGGTTTCATTTGGAGCAGATGGCAGCTCAACACAGAGGACAGGTCTGAGTACCCACCTGTCCTCTGTACATGTCTTCTTTTACCTAGAGTACAAAAAAAAACATTTTTAACTTACTCAGTCCCCTGCTCTCGCAGGTTTCCTCCTGACTGTGTGACTAGTCCCCTGAATCCCCTTCTTTTTTGACGCTTGGTTGGTTGCACCTTGACATCATCATATACAATTCAGGACAATGCAGGACCAGCAGCCCTGCGCTGTATTTAAAGATGCTGAGGGTCACCCACAATCCTGAGTCCTCATGCACACTGGATGTTTTTACAGCTGCTGTTTTTGGCATTTGACGTTTTTTTTCTACAGCCAGTAAACCCCCCAGCATGTTATCCTATGTGTCCATGCACACATAGACTGTAATCAACATTTTTTGGCAGGGGTGATTTTTGACTGGATAAAAACCCAGTGATAGTGGGTTTCTAGAGGAGTTTTTTAACTGTAAAAACGCTCTAACACGGCAAAAAATATTTTTTGACATTTTTTTTGACCAAACAAAAAATATTTTTTGTCAGAACAATGCTAAAAAGGGTAAACGCGGCTAAACGCTGATGCAAAAACGTTGAAAGTCTCATTTTTAACGTGACTTTATACAGTTAACATTACCAGCGTTTCTAAAACGCCCAGTGTGCATGGAGCCTGAGAGTCGGAGGGAAGAGGAGAGTGAAGACTCCTGGGGGAGTGAGAGATAAAGTAAGTAAATCTTGTTTTCATGGTACTCTGGTTAAAGATGAACATTTAATCCTTGAAGTGTGTGTGTGGGGTGTGGGGTGGGTGTGGGGAGTATGTTCCCTACTGTTAGGAAGGTTTTACATTTCCCACTTTGTCATAACTTGTTGAACTGTTCTGAAAATGCTAGGTGAGAGGAGAGGGACTAAAAAAAAAGTGAACTACAAGTATGGTTATTTAACCAGACCCTTTAAAAGTAAATGACTTTTAAGAAGGTAAATGTTGTCTGTAGTGGCAGAAACAGATGAACGAAACACAAGTCGCCAGAACTGTAATAGATGGGAAATCATCTAGTGGGGACACTAGTTCTGGTGACAACCAATGATTCTCTCATATTGGAAAGATTTCATCCTACTTCCTGTTTTGACAATGGGACAGGAAGCGAAGGGAAATCTCTGCAATGGGACAAAAATGGCAGGAAAAAATGAAAACCTCCCTTATCGTTCACACTAGGCTGTTTTGCCAAAAAACGCCCCTATAGCGTTTGGCAAGCGTTCTCCGGTGTTTGCGGAACTGTTTTTAAAAACGCTCCGCAAACGCCCATTAGTGCGGTTTAGCGGCGGTTGCTAGGCGTTTGCCGAGCGTTAATAACGCCCCACAAACGCCTATAATGCATTTGAGTGGTGTTACCGCTCCGCAAACGCCCCGCAACCGCGTCGCAACCGCACCGCAAACGCCGGCCGGGCGTTTGCGGAGCAGCAGCACCATAGACGAGAATAGGAGGCTTTGACTCGCAGAGGCGTCCGTTTTGACGCGACGCAAACGCTCCTGTATAGAACAGCACCATGTGCTGTAATGTGCAGAGTTGGCAGAGGCGTTTGGGAAGCGGTAAAAACGCTTCCCAATCTCTGCCGCCTGCACACAAGGCTAGTGTGAACGTAGCCTTACTCTATCTAAACTGAAAAAATCCCATTAGTCCTACTTTTATTTATTTATTTATTTCAGGTACTTATATAGCGCTGTCAATTTACGCAGCACTTTACATATATACATATATATTGTACATTCACATCAGTCCCTAACCCTCAAGAGGTGTACAATCCAAGGTCCCTAACTTACATTCATACATACACATGTTAGGGACAATTTAGACAGGACTCAGTTCACCTACCAACATGTCTTTGGAGTGTGGGAGAAAACTGGAGTACCTGGAGGAAACCCACGCAGTCACAGGGAGAACAAGCAAACTCCAGGCAGGTGGTGCCGTGGCTGGGATTCAAAACAATGACCCTAGTACTGGCAGGCGGAAATGCTAACCATTTAGCCACTGTGCTGCCTTAAGTTTTAAAGCATGGGTAAGGTTTAGAACTTCAGCGAGGCTTCTAATGCTGTGTGTGTCCCTTCTGGGAGATTTTCCCCTACTTTTTTTGTGTGGGTAACTGGACAGAAGGGTAGTAGAGAAAGGCTACGTGTGACTTCACATGTCTCAGTGCATCATTCCTTCAAATGGATAGGTGAGGGGCAAGGTAATGAGTAAAGTGCGCACTCACCGGACGTGCAATGGTTATGCGCAGTGTATAGTATAGTGGAGGTCTGCCAATGGGTCCCTCTCAGCATAGGAACAGGATCGACCCAGGATAGGTAGATTCATCAAGATATATTCAGTCGGAGGTCCCCTTAAAGGACACTTTCACATTGAGTAGTTTTTGAAGCATTTTTGCGTTAAAAAAAGTACCTGAAAAGCTAAAGAACAATGCTTTGCTATGTATGTGAATGTATAGCTATACTGTTGTGCTTGCGGTACGGTGTAAAAACTCCTGCTTGTAGCATCTTTGGGGAGTTAAAAAAAAAAAAAAAAAAAAAAACGCCCCAAAAACGCCTCTTCCCTTTTGAAATCAATGGAAAATGCCTGAAAAACGCCCCTGAGAAGTGTTTTTGGTGCAGTTTTTAAGTTGTGTCCTTTAAAAACGCCCAGAAAGCGCGGCAAAAATGCAGGTGTGTTTTTGCTGTGTTTTTGTTTCGGATCAGTGTGAAAGCCAAAATCTCCCCCAGAAG